ACACACACACACACACACACACACACACACACACACACACACACACACACACACACACACACTCATATATATATATATATATATATATTACGCACGCGCGCGCCCACCGCGCACGTGCAAGAACAGACGCAGGCACGCGCGCACGCGGTCATGAAAACGGACGTTTGGATAGTATAGATAGATGGTTATTTTATTAACATAACGAATTTAAAGTAAAGAGTATATTAACATATTATGTCTATACCAATGATTCACTTTAATAATTATAATGTGCCCAATCTCCCCTACTTCCGCTAAATTAATACGGTATTATAATAATGTAAGATATGTGTTTAGTATATCCAGTATTTGCCAGATGAAAGATTATTTAGTAGAAATCATACAGTTGAAGTAGAGATCGAGCACACGTGTAAAACAGGTTTGCTACAAAAAATATTTTCCCCGCGATGTTTAATTTAAAAAATCATAAAGCGCCCAATGTTGCCGAATTTCCCTGTCCTGTAGGATAGAGCAATATGTGTGCACCCCTCCTTCGGCTCTTCCTCCTCTGCCCGTCCTTCTCGTCTATTCCTATACTTTCCTTCACTCTTACACGGAGTGTACGAGTTAAAAGTGTAGTGACGTCACATAGCAAGTGACTGAACGCGGTACCGCTATACAGGACCGGTAACCGGTAACCGGTTGAACGGAACTCTAAACGGAACCATCACACACGCTCAGCGTGACTGCGTGAAGCGAAAGGAATGAACCTCGTGAAATAACTCGTTATCACTGATAAGTGAATATTCGGAAAGTTCGTTGTTTCAGGCAGCGTAAGGAAACGTTGTTGTTGTTGCTATTATTGAACTTGTCCCTGTAATTGCTGCAGTTGTTACTTATAGTTCCAGATCATATGATGATTGGCATTGAAAAGGCTTTAGGCCTATGACTAAATTGTCGACCCAAGGGCCCACAGGCACTTGAAGCATATCAACTGTAAGCGCACGGCGCCGCCATTGCGCGTACACTAATACATAGATATATGAGTTATCTATGTATCTCTTATATCTATGTATTAGTGTACGCGCAATGGCGGCGCCGTGCGCTTACAGTTGATATGCTTCAAGTGCCTGTGCAAGGGCCCATTGGTTTTACGCTGTGGCTATCCCGGCAGCCGGGCACGGTCTTCGATTTCCTAAATGCCCGGCAGTTCCTAACCCTAACCCTAACCCTAACTCTGACCCTAATCCTGACCCTAATTCTAACCCTAACCCTAATCCTGACCCTAACCCTAACCCTAACCCTTGTTTACTTGAGGTAACGCTAAAAATTAAAAACTGCCGGGCATTTAGGAAATCGAAGACCGTGCCCGGCAGCCGTCAGATATATGCCGGCTGCCGGGCATATAGCCACTCTGTTGGTTTTATTGGTACCCATGTGTCTGCTACCAAGTGTCTGATAACCTTTTGACCCTCAAGAGGAGGGTTAAACATGGATTTGTTGACTGTTAACAAAGGAATGAACTGCTTTCGCTATTAGAGCCCCCCTCCACCCGCCCTACGCTCGCGCTCGACGCATATCCATGATAACATGTTAATATAGCGAAGTCATTAAAGTCACACAGCTGTATCTTTATTACTGTACTACCAGTAGGTAGGCCTAAGTACACCCTATAGCAAAACCTATCATAGATTTTATATCTGTATTAGTAGTATCCTAGATATATGCTATGAGCGCGAACGCGGTGGCAGGAGGGCGCACTGGATTCGATTGCCAGTGAGTTTATCAGAAGAATACCTGGCTACAGTACACGTCAGTTGAGCGCTGTCGCTCTGCGGCACTTGTTACTTTATTTATATTTATTGTTTCTGCTTTTTCTGGTAGGACCATATATTGATATAACAACAGAAACTCGAACGACATTGAGCAAAGATGGCTGACAAGCCGGCGACACGGCTAACAGATGAGGACAGACAGAAGCTGGCTGCAAAAATGGATAAAGAGCTGGATGAATACATTGATAAATTGGCGAGTAAAGGAAAATCTCCTTACAAGGATGGATTTTCACAAGATAATTGGGAAGAGGTAAGAAAATTGTTAGGTGCATACCAAAAAGCGGGATGTTTTGTTGACAGCAGGATTACTGCTAAATTTTTAGCTCAGCTGACAAAGTCAGATGCAGCTTGTAGAATCGCATGATTGTCCGTCCGTGCGTCCGTCAACAGTTGGGCACAAATCTTAACCGCTCGACGTACGGTCTTGATATTCAGGACGTCGGGGGGGATCGCGAAAAGGACTCGGGATGTCGAATTTGGGTGTCAATGGTCAAAGGTCAAGATGTGTCAATGGAGGGGGAATATTTCCTCCTTAACTTAAGGTATAGGAGGAAATACGGAATTGCGGCACAAATCTCAACGGCTTGACCTACGCTCTTAATATTCGGTGTATAGTGTGATGGGGAGGAAACCCATCATCAGTGCGAAATGGAGGAGGTCACAGGTCAAAGGGCAGTGGGGGAAAGGTCAGTTATCAGACATTTTCTTAGGACATGGTCTAACAGACCGAGTGCAAAACTTTTTTGTTACCTACCTGACCTACCGTTTTTATCACTTTATTGAAAGGACCATGAAATCTACTTTCCACTGACGTGCGAAGAGTAAGTGTCTGATAACCTTTTGACCCTCAAGAGGAGGGATAAACATGGATTTGTTGACTGTTAGCAAAGGACTGAACTGCTTTTGCTATTAGAGCCCCCTCCACCCGCCCCTCCCACCTCCCGACCCCACCCTCAATGCACCCTTAATGTCATAAATATATAGTTGTTTATCGAAATATTTACTAGCAATATGTAATTATCAGGAGTCCGAGTGACTAATAATAGATCTATTATTATTCACTCCTGTAATTATGTAATATTAGTAAGTGGGGGAAGAATTTCATCAGAAAATCTTCCCTGAAATCTGTACTAGTAATAAATAATTACGTAGTATTAGTAAGTTGGGGCATATTTAATAATTGCATCGCATTAGTAAGTTGTATTGAAGCCACCCAAAATTCCCCCCGCGAAATTTGTACGTGTAATATAAAATTATGTTGTATAGATCTGTAAGTCGTATAGAGAGTTTATGGTTAGACGGTCGCCCGACGTTTTTTCGTTTGTCGGTAGGAAATGGAGAATCACCCTGCGTTCATGACGAGACAGCTGAACGAGGATGAGGAACTACCGAGCCTAGTGGCAGCGCTGCAGGCACTGAAGTACGACGAGGACGACACACCCGAAGGTGAGACTGACGCGAGGCCAGCCATCACAGAATGGCCAACAATTAAAATAATAATAATGATAGTAATAACAATAGTAATAATAATAGTAATGGTAATAATAATGCTGAGAGGGTCCCCCAGGGTACTGCCGGAACGTACCCTGGTAACAGAGCATATAAACGTGATTTATATGCTCTGCTGGTATACTATCTAATATGCTGGACAGTACCTCGCCTACTCCACTAATGAGTCTAGGGAGTCGCCTACACCTACTCCCTAACCTTAACCCTAACCATATCAGATAGTTACCAGGGTACGTTCCGGCAGTACCTTGGGGGACATATACCCTATGAGCAATAATAATAGTAATGGTAATAAAAATAATATTATTAGTAACATTACTAAATTAAAATAATTGTTTGCGGGGCAGCATCTATAAACCCTCAACCTCATTATGAAGGTAGCTACATTTTCCGTCGCACAGCGAATTGTACGTGTTTTGCTTATATTGTTTGTAGACATAACATCAGACTGCCAACATTAATACTAATTCATTTCCTCTAATTCTATGATTTCCATTTAGAAATGGCTTTGCAGTATAAAGATGATGGCAATGTGAACTTCAAGGCCAAGAAATACAAGAGGGCCATCGACTGCTACGCAGAGGCAATCAAGCAAAGATGTCCGAATGTGGAGTTGAATACTATTCTGCACACAAATAGGGCAGCTGCACATTTTCATATAGGTTTGTGTAATTTAAAACAGTGCAGTGGGCTAAGTTAACACGTAGCCCTGCTTCTAGATTTTCCTACCAGAATCCCTTATTTGGCATCAGAGACAGTTCATGTGACTCATGTAAAATTTGACTAAGAGTGACCGAAAATTTAAAGATGTTTGATGCAAGTGGGCTTTCAGTGTTTTAAAATATGTGAGCTGTGGCAATTACAGCAGGTAGCATGACCATTCATGTCATTCTAGTGGTTACTTCGACTTGGCCAGTGTTGCAGACGTCATCATTTTCCTCTTTTTGAGGACGTAGCCAATATGATTCCCTTGATTAAAACCTCATTTCTACCCCTGACAATCTCATTTGAAGAGAGATTTTACATCAGTTTCTTGATTTACTTATAGCCATAATTATTGTAGGTAATAACAGGTCTTCCTTGAAGGATTCTATTATTGCCAGGAAGCTGAAACCAGACCACATGAAAGCTATTGTTAGAGGTAAATTTTTAATAATATGTGCTTAATGTCAGGGGTGAATTAAGATCTGTCATTCACCACTGTTAAATTTCTTCAACCAGTCTTACATTTAATTTAGGTAGTATAGACCAATATTCAATTCGTATCAGTCACTTAAAATTAATTTGTAGTATGCTTCAGAATATTTTGGGTAGACTACAATTTTACATTTTTAGCTCGCCTTGACATCGTCAAGATGAGCTATTGCCATGGGGTGTTGTCCGTCCGTCCGTCCGTCCGTCCGTCCGTCAACATTTGGCTACGGTCAACGATAACTCAAGAACAGTTTGACCCACATGTTTCAAATTGCATACAGTTGTTACTCCTATGGGAGAGATTTGAACGTCCTATTTTGGAGCACGCCAGTCGACCTACTTTCGAGTCACGCCTACTTTTTGGCAAAAATGAAAATGGCCATCTAAATTCATTCGATTTTGTTAAATTTTGGTATGTGAATGTGTAAGGCTAGCCCCAAAACAGTTGTTACTCCTATGGGAGAGATGACAACGTCCTATTACGTTTATTTTTGTCCAACTGGTTAACAACTCTACAATCATACCTATATACGAGTAATATTGTGTTTTAGATTCTTCGTTACATTAATTTGACTGGAATATTTTATTGTTTTTATTTGCGCGATATTCAAAAACCAAAATGGCGATCATTTAGGCGTATCGCCATCTCTCTTCAATATTTTAGACTTTCAGATCTGAAACATTTATTTTCGCATCAAAACTTATGCATATATCATTATCAAGAGTGTATAATGGGAGATATGCTATATAATGGGAGTTCTCCCATATATATACTCTTACTTTATATATCCCCCTCCCTCTTCTATCACACCAAATGTGAGCTACAGTGTCATTGACACTTTCATTTATTGCTGATAGGTTTTATATATATCAGACATTTCCACAATTGATAAGATTTATTTCAAATACAATGTTTATTTATCAATTCACCCGTTCTTACTTGTAAAACGGCCGAGCAATAGCCAGGGCCACACTGTTAACATATTAGTCATTGAATCTTTTTGCTTTCTTTTGTTTGGTAAGTGTGGCTGGGATTTAGCTCCCAGGTTACTTACTATAGGCTTGTATGATTAATCAATCGCCTGTATATATCTATGACTGTTAACAACAGGTGCTCAGTGTTGTGTGGAACTTAAACTTTACGTGGAAGCTCTGCGATGGTGCCATGATGGTCTAACAATATCCTTTTTTTAACAATTGCTTTTCTTTATTTCGTCAATTGATGTCAATCGATAATGCTATAATTTTTTTAGAAAAAACATGCGTGACGAGCATGCGTGATGATGATCGAGTGATGTACGATTGATTCTGTTAATTGCCATGTTAGCCTTAATGTTCAACACAGAGACCCCAGTGAGAAAACACTACTTGATCTAAAAGTGAAGGCTAACAGATTGCTGGTAAGTTTGCTTGGACAAGTAAAATTATGAAAAACGTAGAAAGATACGGTTAATATAAACGTGTTTCGTTGCATAGCTAAATACGACAAACAAAAGAAGGAACAATATTTCTAATAGCTAAAAAATGGACTTCTTTTTAGAAAGTGATGCAAAAAGACCAACGGAAGAAATTGGCTAAACAAAAAAAGGAGAGGGCACAAGAACTGGTACTGATCACTGCAATAAAGGTAAATGTAGTTGATTAAATATATTAACAACTTTGGCACTTCTTGGTTTTGCCAACAATTATTAATAAAACATAAATAATCGTGGTGCTAGTTTAATTTCAGTGCGCATAAATCGGATGCATGCTTTATAAAACATGTAATATGTCGACACGGATGCTCATATCTTTTACAGGAGAGAGGAATTAACCTCAGCAGCCAGCAGCAGCAGCAGCCAAACAACGATGATTGTGACGATGACGACGGCAACGACAGAATAGACCCACTGCTCGCCAACCTAGAAACCCACTATCCGTCAGGGATCAAAGTTCATCTCGACGAAAATGGCGCCCTCAACTGGCCCGTGATGTTCATGTACCCAGAGTACAAGGAGACGGATTTCATTGAGGTGTTTAACGAGAACTCCCGGTAGGAATCTCAGACGCATAACGTGTGTGACTAGGCAAGCTGTCAGTGTGTAGCCAACGTCAATCGGCTCAATTAGCGAAAATTTGTTTGTAATCTCGGAACACTTCATTATTAAATGTTGCAACTTAGTGAGATCCACATTCATTATATATGTGAATGCATAGAGCATGATGCATTTCTGGTTCAATTAAAAAGGAGTACCACACGTGCGAATCTGTTACCCATGAATAGTGGCAAAGGCAAATTGCTTAAGGAATTTACTTCTAATAAAAGTTTTTGGAAGGTATACCTTGAAAATAAGTCATTGCTGGTTTTGTAACATTTTAAAATATTCACGGTAGTAGTAGTATAAATTAAAATAATCTTACTTCATATTTTGCAGATTTATTGACCACCTGGAAGTGATGTTTAACAGTGAGATTAGAATTCCATGGGATTCGGAAAATAAGTACAATTCTGCCAACATTCAGGTTAGGTTTAAGGCTTATTTAAGACATTTATTATGCATTTTTAGCTCATCTGACATAGTCAGATGCAGCTTGTAGAATCGCATGAGCGTGCGTACGGCCGTCCGTCAACAGTTGGGCACAAATCTCAACTGCTCGACGTACGGTTACGATATTCGGGATGTGGGGGAGTAATCCGAAAACGAGTTGGGATGTCGAAGCTCAGGGTCAAAGGTCAAAGGTCAAGAGGTGTAAAAGAAGGGGGAACATTCCCTCCTTAACTTAAGGTATAGGGAGGAAATGCAGAATTGCGGCACAAATCTAAATGGTTCGACCTAGGCTTGTGATAGTCGGTGTATAGCATCATGGTAGGAAAAGCCATCACTGTGCCAAAATTGGAGGTCACAGGTCAATGGGGCACAGGGCAGATACATTTAGACATTTTCTGAGGACATGGTCTGATGGAGCGATTGGAAAACTTTTTTGTTTCAGTGGTGACCTCCCATTTTTATGGCTTTATTGAAAGGACCATGAAAGGACCATGAAATGTACGTCAGCGGAGAGTAAGTGTCGGATAACCTTTTGACCCTCAAGAGGAGGGTTAAACATTGATTTGTTGACTGTTAACAAAGGACTGAACTGCTTTTGCTATTATTAGAGCCCATACCTGTGTGAGAATGTGAGGCTACAGTTGCACAGTTTAATTGCAAAGGCAAATGTTTGTTGAACAAGATTTACGCTCCTTAAATCATATTATTAGCTCATCTGACATAGTCGGATGCAGCTTGTAGAATCGCATGATCGTCCGTCCGTCTGTCCATGCGTGCGCCCTGATCCGCTGACAGCGTCCGCCGCCCGTACCGTCAACAGTTGGGACAGGCAAATCTAAACAGCTCGACCAGAGTACGGTCACCGATAAATTCGGGAGCGTGGGGGGTAATCCGACAAAAAACGAGTTGGGATGCTCGAAGCCTGGGGTCAAAGGTTCAACGAGGTGTTAAAACAGAAGGGAACATCTCAGTCGACTTAACTTTAAGACGCGAGGTAGACAGGGAGAGAAATAGCAAGAAATTGCGCAGCACACATAATGCTAAACAGGCTCGGACGCTAGGGCTCACGTGATAGTTGGCTGTATAAGCGATCATGGTAGGCCCAAAAGCCATGCACTGTGGCTCGAAATTCGAGGAGTCAGCAGGCTCAATACGGTCCGCCCGCGCCGGATAAGTAAGAACGACAAGATTGCGAGGACGTCCCGCGTGCAAGCAGGCAGAAACAGGGAGCGGACAGCGATTGGAAGAAGGACGCAAGGAACACTCGTAATGACAGGCCACAGAGGCGTAAACGCAAGAAAGGCACAAGGATGGATTTGTAGACCTGCGAAGGAGGGAGGCACAGGATAGAAGTATAACGTATGGGAGAGCCGGAGGAATGTGCCGGGGCTAATGGTGAGGCCGTGGAGCCTCCGACGCCCCCGCAATGACCACTCCAGAAGCGGCGCTCTCGGAGTGCTAGTACGACGGTGATGCTTGTGAAGGCGAGGCGCCGCCGGACGTGGCAGAAACGGTAGGAGGGGCGGATCGAGATTAGAAGTGAAGGCAGTGGATCCGCCAGGGGATCCGCACAGGCGTGGACCGGCGGGCACGAATAAGCCCAGCGACAGTACAGGGAGAAGGGTAACGGGGAGAGTGGAAGTCGCTGGATAGGGACAGCGAGCGGAACACCTGTGGTGGGTCGAATACAGGGAAGCTGAGGAGAGAAGAGGCGACGCCGCCGCGTAAGTTGAGCGGCCTGTACATACGGCGGGAGGAAGGGCGGACAGCTAGCAGCTGAAGACAAGATTGAACAAGAGTGCTCAGGAAGGTGGGTAGAAGAGGAGAGCAGTGAGCGGAGCAGGAGCGTGACAGAGGGGAATGACGGGAGTGGAGAAGGCGAAAGTAAGAGGAAAGGGAGTAGCAAGAGAGCTGGGTGTGGACAGCGCACACATGCGAGGACTGTCACGGGGGGAACCGGCATGGATCGAGAACGGCTTCGGATGGCGAGGAGACGGGGTCGCGGGCGCCCGCAGGGACTTACACCGCGAGGCGACACAAGGCAGATTTTAGACATTTTCTGAGGACATGGTCTGAACGGAGCGATTGAAAAACTTTTTTGTTTTCCAGCGGTGACCTAGCATTTTTATGGCATTATTGAAAGGACCATCAATCTACTTTCTGCTGACATGCCAAAGAGTAAAGTGTCAGATAACCTTTTGACCCTCAAAAGAGGAGGGTTAAACATGGATTTGTTGACTGTCTGTTAGAAAGAATTTGACTGCCGCTTTGCTAGTAGAATCTATAACATGCTGGATGTATGTAGGCTACAATGATCCACCATCTGAAATTTCAGAAAGCCTTAAATTTGTGTTAAAGGTTTATGCTCACTCTAAATCGTATAAATTTCCTATCGCGCAGTTCTGTGAACTGTCAGTATGTTACACTGTCACCAGTAGCCACTCCGCGCAGTGCTACTGCCAGTGCCGATGTGTTGATGGTACGTGTAGTTTTTGCCGCTGCGTATAATTGGTTAGGCAGGATGGCAGCTCTCTATTGGCAGGCCTGTCAGGCTGGCCTAGGTAAATGGATTGAGTGCTTAACCCTATTCTGTCTTTGGGCAAAAAGTGTGTTGCTAAACGTACGGATGGGAGCTTCCATCTTTAATCTGAAGAGCAACTTAAACGTACGCGCAAGTCTCGTTGCACACACTTTCATAACGATCCCAACGAACATTCCTTTGAGAAGGTTCCTGATACCATCCCTGTGCATTCCACTGTTTCGGCGTATATGTGAACACATTTGGGACTAACAGGGTTTACTAGAATCCCACCACTCCACCACAGAGTCACCGCAGTAGACGTTAGATGAGCGCTGTCGCTCCGCGGCACTTGTTTTCTAAAGCAGTCTGTCTATAGCACCCTGAAGGCTGAATCAGTGAATGCTCGCGTGGGTAGGCAAAAACATGGGGCAGCCCATGGCTGGCATGCTTCCAATCATAATTGTTGCCTGTCACCCTGCAATGCACATGTGTCTGCAATGCATAGAGATTAGGTGTGTGCGAAAGTGTAGCTGATATATTTGTTCAAATTGGCTGCGAAAGTCAAACAAGAATAAAGAAGATTTATGTATAAGACGTCTTGCTATGCACAAATGAATTTATCAGCAGAACACCAGACACCAGATGAGCCCTGTCGCACTGCAGCACTTGTTAGTAAAAATGATGTAAAAAAATGATGTAGCTTTTTGTTAAAAGAATTAACATAGCATCACTGTAATAATAGACCAATTCATTCACACTACTATGCTCACACCTGGAGACATAATGGCAAGTTTTGGTAATTACTGTACTAAATGGTACCAACTATGGCCTAATTTGCCCAAATTGTCCAGTTGTCTTATTTTCAGTGAAAAAGGTGCATTTCCTGTTTAAAGGTATATTTTGAAGACCGGGATGAACAGAAGCTGTATAATGTGGACAAGGCGTCAAGTTTAAGAGAGACCTTACAGCACAAGAAGTAAGTTGAAACTGTCAGTTTGCAATTAAGACTACATTTTTTATCCTCAGTCATACATAGATGTTTATACCGTCCCTTTAAAAAGCTGAGATGGAGCCGATTCTGCAGGAATGTTGGCATAGTTTTGAAGGTAAATCTCGTCATTGAGTAATTGTATACCAATTAAACCTTCATCAGGTGGAAGTTATTATCCCCTGCTCTGTACTTTACTTTTTACTACCAAAAGACATTTACATCTATTTCCGATTTTTTGCAGGCATGTTGTCTACAATGGAACACCGTGCTTCATTCTTCTTGTCGATGGATCAGCATTTGGAAAACAATTCCTGGACAAACACAAGTTGTAGCTAAATCGTTTTAATGGATTGAATAAACACATAATTATTAAACAAAATTTCAAAGGCTTCATAGGTTTCCTAGTGCAACTTTTTTGTCAGTTCCTGTACATCTCAACTTCCTATCAATACATGTGTCAAAAACTTCCTGTTAATATGAAGCTAAACATTTGCCTAACCACGGTTAACGTTTCATCTTTTTAGCATTCCCTTTCTTTTGGCCAAGTGATCTTTTTTTCCATTTTCCACGATGTGATGCAGCCGTTACTTTTGGACAGTCTCGCTTCTTGTGTCCAATGTCACCACACATGTGACATCCTGCCTTTGATTTTGCCAGTTCACCACAAATGTGTTTAGGCAGAACGCAATGTTGACAGGTGTCACAGTGCTCTCTTGAACCTTTTACACATTTACTGCACTTGAAGCAGTGTTTCCACGGATTTCCGTCCTTTGAAGGACAAACATTACAAACACTGCAGTGCTTGTTTTCCGATGTGACCCATCGGTGACACTCATTGCAGTAGCAGTACCCCTGTTCTTTCGGCAATGCAATGCGCTCTGCACACACATTTGTAAATATCCTTACCGGCGATTTACGCTTCTTGTCAGACTTGAACGAGCTGTGGTTCGCGTAGTCTACGACGTAGTCGAGCATTACCACGTTTGGAAGGTTCTCTTTCACTTTCTCTTCCAAGAAGTACGGGAAAACCCAGAAAATCGGCAATTCCCTCTTTTCTCTTGCATGTAACGTCTTCCATCTCTTCATGAAATGCTGCAGTGTCCCACCTAAAAGTTCAGCGAGTCCGCCAAATGGTGGGTCGATTATGATGGCAAGGTTTTGCTTATGCAAAATAAGGTCGACATTGTCTGCACCCTTTTCCCCGTTGAAAAAGTGCCTGTTAAACATGTTGAAGCGGCTAAACTTATTTACTGGATAGAATTGTTCGTAGCGTTGATCTATGTCCAATAAATAGCTTGATATCACACCCTGATTCACACAAACCTCATGGATGGTTGGTGTTCCTATGCAGAGAACTGAATCTATGGAAAGTTCCTTGAACGTTGCCATGAGAAAAGACAATGTTTGCCGTGAAAAAAAGTATTGGGCTTCCATCTTATTATTGGTATGCGCGCGAATGATGGCCGTTGGTTGGGTTAAATCTGATACACTGACATTTTTCACATTGTGGTTAACGTGATTTAAACATTCACCAGGTGGCAGCAATAGACCACAAGTTGTGCAGTATTTGTTCTGGTAATCCTTAGAATCCAAGCATTTCCTTAATATCAACTGCTGCTCCTCTTGCATTGACTTCTCTGAATGAAAAGCCTCGCTCACTTGCTTGCGCATAGCCAGCCGCTCACATGAAAGCTTATCGTCTGCCCATTGAAAAAAGGAACAGTCTTTTCGATCGCGGCATGCTGAGCAAGCATAAAACTGTCTGCTTGTGGAGTTGTCCTTCGTGTACCGTTGAAAGAGAACTGTTGGACCATGCTGGCAAGATGGATGACAATCCCAGTCTACGGACACAACCAATACTCCTGAATTAGATGGTTGGTTCATCTTGGTAGTTGTTATTGAGTTAATAGCTATTTGTTCAAAATGGTTTCGTTTTACTCGAGATTTTTACGCATGTACACGAGCTTGTGTACACGTACACAACCCGTACTCGGAATCGTCGTCTCAACAGTTATGATGCCAACAGTTCATGTATAGGCAGCAACCGTTCGTTTGAATAGTGTTACAGTCCTGTCATTTCATATCATGACAAATGCACACCGGTCGAATTAATGCGGGATTGCCACTGGCACTAATCAATAAGTTGCACCAATCAATTATTGTTGTGCACCAAGCCGTTCTATTAGCTGATACCACATGTTATGTTGCATTACATTAAACGTTGCAGGAGAAGAAACCTTTCAATATTCCACAGCTGTCATAACTACTAGTACTAGTAGGCCTAATTCTTTCTTTAGCCTACTCAAACTTCTCCTGCAATATTACGTGGTGAAGCAAGATGAGCGCTGACATGTTGGATTTGTAAGAAAAGTAAGCTTCACTAATCAAATAAGCCTGACTAAAGTCATCATTATTAAAAAAATAATATTCATATTTTATGCATACATTTTGGGATGCTTTAATTATAAATTACTTTTTAACGGTTCAGATATTGTATACTCAATCTTTCTATTTGCTTTCTATCCATGTTATCTAACAAACCGCGCCAAGCAAGGCCAGATCAAAGATGGCGTGGCAACCTGATCAGAATGGTCTGCAGCAAATTATTCAGCTTCTTAAAGAGTCTCAATCACCAGATACAGCTACACAACGCGCTGTCCAAGAAGTATCCTTACTAACCGTTTAGCTAATGTTAATTTAGTTATGTTTCAGTAATTACTTAATCCGCTAGCCCTTTACCAGTAATCTAATGCGCAGTACTGCCAGGCAAAAATTTGGCGGTTACGTTCGATTAGCATTGGCTTGTAACGACCGCTCTCTTTACTAACCCCGAAATCACCAGATATCCAGTCGTAGGTGCACATCCAGCATTTACATCGACCCTAAACGTGGCCATACCATGGATATACCCATGGTCCACGAGTATAGTGCACGTTATCACAATTTCTTGTTCATTCAGCCATGGAATTGGAATGTCACAGTGTCGGTGTGCTTCTGACAATTAATGCTGATCCACAAAGAGAAGGTGTGCTAGACGCCCAATTTAGAAGGATGGAACAGTAGGTTTAAATCTCATGTGATGAAGTGTTAACTGCAAGCGCCGAATTTGTTTAACTGTAACTGCAAATGCATCTAGTACTAGTAGTACTAGTAGTAATTGTACTTTTAATTAAATTGATCGGAGTGGCTGGAGGTACGGCAGCCGTCGTTCGTTAAAGCCCTGTTTTGGCGTTTGTTTGAGGGCTGAGGCAATTATTTGCGATCTTCAGATGTAAAGTTTACAATAATGTTTATTTTCATACCTAATCCGAGTGTTTCTAGCTCATCCAAACTCTCAAATCGTGAATTTATTTCCCAAGGCGTTATTTCGAAATCTGCCGCCATCTTTGTCTCGTTAAGTATGAAAGCGAATGGACTGCCGTACCTCCAGCCTTGTAAATTGGAGATACCGCTGCTTACCTCCAGCCACTGCCTAAATTGATTAGCAATTTAAATAATGGTAACCCGATTTTCGGAAGAATACTGCTAATTAAGGATATAGTACATATATAAAATTAAGAAACTACATCACACAGAATACACTTGCTATAAGTCAGATCATGTCTGATCTATTTGCGATGTACATTAATTATTATTGTTCGCTGTTTCCATAGACCTGTCAAGTGGAGAGGTTATGATGGGGACTATTGCATCAACTAGTAGGTGGCAGCAGCAGGTTTGCACATGCATGACTTAGCTTTTTAAAAGTAGCAGGACTGCCACAAGGGAACCCAGTGTTGTTTTAAGTCATATTAAAACAACCTCAGGGATACATTGTCTTTGAAGTTTGATATAGTCGCTTGGACTACGAAGCGTAATTATTGTAAGGTTACACATAAACTGGGTTAAAAACGAGAAATCTTAAATCGTTAGATTGGGTCTATTATCTGTGGTACATTATCCTTGACCTCGTATTAATAGAAACTTGAGGAGCTGAACAAGTATCCAGATTTTAACAACTACCTGATATTTGTGCTAACGAAGCTAACATCAGAAGGTGAGTAATATAAAACTGCCAATGAAATCTGCAAGCATTTTAACGAGGCTGGGTGCAACTTAATTGGTTATAAGTTCAGGTAATTCTAGAGTATATTTAATGCCCAAGCGAGCCTGGAAGTAATTAGGTAATTATGACTAAGCTAAGTGCATGAGTGATGAGTGGCATACCTTTATAATTAGAACTTTATAATTAATGTATTTTGGAACATACATCGATAAGTGGTTTCGCATTTTCTATTCATATGATTCGTTTATTAATATTATGTCATAATTATTCGTGTAGAATAATAAAAAAATTGAGCAAAAATTCTGAGATGGTACAGTGCCTTCAAGTTTTCTTTTTGTTAGATTGTCCAATCTAGCCTAGCGTAAGATGAAAGTATATAAATTAAATGCAGTAATTGACTGTAAATGTGAATTTTTAAACTCTGCCTAGGCAAATGCAATTATATGCTTACTAAATACAGTGAATGTTTTATGATTACTTACTCAGGTGGCCCAAGAAGTTATTTAAGCTAAAGCATTTATCTTTGGTGTTTTATGTTCAGTAGTATCATAAAGTGGGTGAAATGAAACAAATCCTACTTTCAGCAAGCACATGCACTCTAAATTGGTTTTTACATTTATATATTATATACGCTATATAAGTGTAGGTATTTAGTAGTTTAGTGTGCCTGTCTGACAGCATTTTGTGCCAGTAGCTAAAGCCTCTACCATATATTGTGAGTCGTGGGGTGTGCAGAAAGGCGTGCGGCTTCGTTATTGATTTTCCCTCTCTGTTCAGTGGGTTCAGGAGCAACTGCAGCCCCAGTAGATTTCCTAGGAAGCTGCTGCTCTAGTGTATTGATTGCTCTATCCAGTGATGGACAATGATAACGAGGCAGAAGATGCTCAGTGTTGCTACAGACTGGTCTTGGGCGAGAGGCACCCTAATGCTCAAAATTGCAAGCAAATGAGTTTACGCGCGTCGCATATGTGGGAGTTTATTTTCTTCAAAATTTCACGTCGCCGTAGATGCAGCATAGCATGTGAGACCGGGGGGGGGGTGTGTGCTTTTAGTAGCTCTCTCTTAGGGGTCTTCTCAAGATTTCTTGTAGTTTAGCCGTGTCCGTCACAGTTTATTTCCCAATGATGACAGATGCCAATAATGAATTCACTTCTGCTGGGCTAATGGAAAACTGTGTTCGTGTTGGCTGTGGTGTGTGGGGGTCTTTGTTTCGCGTGATGTTATTAAAATGTCCATTTTCAATTATTCTGCACCAATTTTTGCGTGTTTGCATACTGCAAAAACTCATTAATTCCTACGTGCCGCGCCATTTGATATAGATCTTGGTTGATATTTCTAGTCAGATTACAATCTGTGAGCATTGTGTTTGGCAATTCTTGTTGGGCAATGTGAAAAAAATATCACATTGATGTATGCCACTCCGCTTAATTACACTAGATGTTAACACGAATTCCAAAACGTTTCTTGGGAAATAGAAAAAAAGTAATGGCATCTGTTTTATATTTGCTATTATCACTGAGACATTTTGAGTGCCATTTACTAGCATTTCTGGTATAGAATCTGAAATGTGTGCTGTCTCTATGTTTGTGCGTTTTATGGGTCTTTTTACATCTGCTGTGAAGTGTATTACAGAGACACTCAGTGAAATAATTGCTCCATCATAACCTAAGTAAGCAATCAGTGTGTGGGGGAAATTGCAAAACGATCCCATTTTCCAACCTACAGCCCACTCTTGAATGAAATACCTTATGATATTTATGGAAATAAGAAATCTTTTGATTTAAAAAACTAGATCACTTACATTTTTGCTAAAAATGCAATACTGTGCGAGTGTGTGTGTGTGATCATGATAGGAAGTTTTTTTTGGTAGATAATAAATACAAAACGGGTTCCATTTACAGGGTTAGACACTAACCATTTTAGTTCATTAGTCCACAGGACTAGTAAAAGAAAAAATTTACTAGTCCTTCCAAGAATTTGGCCTCATTTATAGCTACAAACTGTTCCGCACCTTTTATCGGCTATCGCCGTAAGATGAACCTCTGGCAGGCACTTGTCAGTGAGGCTAATGCTGGCCGACATCTAACCCCTTGCCTTGTCAAGCTGGCACAGCTTGACGTAATGCGTGTAGGACCTGCCGTTTTTTCGAATAGCATGTGGCATTTCTAATGGGGTTCGCCATTTACAATCGCTGGATGGATGCGGCGTGGTGCACTGTCGCGTATGGGTGTTGCTATCCCGGGCGTGGAGGGACAGTCACGGTCGATCAGTTGACGTATACTTCAAAGTCCAGCAATCCTTCCACAGAAAGATTCCACAGTCATACTTCCGTACTAGACATGGCCTTATATCCCTAACACCTATCCCTAACCCTCACCCTAACGCCTACCCTAATCCTAACACTAGTGCTGCCACACTTGCGGTACTGTCCCTCCACGCCCGGGGCGATAGCATTTCCGCGTCGGTATCACTGCTAAACAATGGCGTCTAGTTACGAAGGAAAAAATCGTAAATGAATTGAAATCAGAGTTGCCAAAGACATCTGGGCAGAAAGCTGATCTGCAACGTACACGTATCGCTTGCGTGCGTGTGCACGTACAACGTCGGTCCGTGCGTGCGTGTGCACGTACACCGTGGTTGCGTGCGTGGCGTGTGCACGTACACGTGCCTGCGCGCATAAGGCAAGTACACGTGTGTGCGTGCGTGGCACGTACACGTGCGTGCTGCGTGTGCGGGACGGTCACAGTGCATCCGTGCATCAGGCACGTACACGTGCGTCGCTGCATAGGCAACGTACGTGTGTGTGTGCGTGCGTGTGCACGTACACGGTGCGGCGCGTGCGTGTGCACGTACACGTGCCGTAACGGCCGTGGCGTAGTGCGGTACGTACATGTGCGTGCGTGCGTGTGCACGTACACGTGCCTGCATGTGCATGTACACGTACGTGGGCAGCTACACGTGTGTGCGTGGCGTGCGTGGGTGCGTGTGCACGTACACGTGCGCGTGTGCGTGGGTGCTGTGTGCACGTACACGTGCGTGGTGCGCTGTGCACGTTGTGCGTATGCACGTCTGTGCATGTGCGCGCGTAGTGCAAACGTACACGTGTGTGCGTGCTGTGTGCACGTACCACGTGCGTGTGCACTTTTCATCACCTCTTTTGATCGCCACAACCATTTCAATCTCAGTTCTGGGTCACTTGGGCTCGCCACTGTTCGCGTAACAGGCATGGTCCTTGCATTTCTTTTGCTAGGATCTTCTGTCCCCATCGGAAGCATCATGCGGCTTTAACAGTTTCCAAACGATAGTTTGTAGTGCCGGTGGAAAAACTATGCATACATACAGCCTGACACCACAGGTCATAGTGATACCCTTGGCTGGGTCATACTCTACCCACGGGTATGAGCGATTTTCCACGCTGGCCTGGAAACGCACGCATCCTTTCGTCGTCTTATCATAGACACGCTGGCCATCCTAATTTCTCCTCCTGCAGATTTACGTTTGGGAGGTGAGGGAGCGCCGTCCAAATACTTTCACATAACAACCTTGATGTTAGTAAATTATACTATTGGATTAAGGATGTACCATATACTATTAGCTTCACTACTATTTGTATAGACTGCTTCAAGTAACACACAGCATGCGATGTGGTGCGATGTGAATACCTCCCTATGGAGAGCCTATAACTGATTAGTTGCGTCATTTCTACAATGCAGGACCGTTTGTTCTATGTCAACAGCTACTGTCAAGCGATCAATCGGTAGACTGGGTGGTTCGAGACCCCATTTGTTTAAACAGATGTTTGCACTGCCGTAGGGGTCTAGCATGCTTGGAGCGTGCAGAGCGTGCTAGCTTCTACTCTACTTGGACTAGCGCGTCTAACAGGGAAAACTTGTTAATTTGACGAGGTTATATATAGCTCTTTGGATCTTGGATGAGAGACGCTGCCGCCGGTAAATCGATGTGGAGATATTGGGAACGTGAGGGACGGGGAAAACATAAGCTAGTCCCGCCGGACTAACTGCTATGGGAATCTACTAGATCGCTTCTGATTTGTGTTAACTAGTCCTCGGACTAACGGACTTAGCGTTAGTGTC